TTCGCAGATTGCCATATGTTGCTTAGAATGATTAGGTAAATTAAAATGTCTAGCGACTGGTTTCGATGTGTCCTTGTCATTCCTTTCCACGTCTCGAAGGTGTTCTCGGAATCGGTCACCTAGTCTTCTGCCTGTTTCGCCGATGTATATCTTTTTGCAATAAGTGCAAGTTATGCAATAGATTACATTGGCGGAGGTGCACGTGAAGTGATCGGTGATCTTAATGGATCGTTTAGGTCCCGATATTTTATCAGTGTTGTGAATGAAAGGACACGTTTTGCATCGTGCACGAGCGCATTTAAAAGTGCCTAGTTGGTCATTAGTCTGAAAAGAACTTCTGACCAAAAAATTGCCTATGTTTTTGTCGCGTTTGAATGAAATGAGCGGAGGCTTCGAAAAGATAGTGCTTGTCTCTGGATCGTTTTGAAGTAATTTAAAGTTTTTAAGAATGATGGATTTAACTCTTTTTTCTGCCTTTAAAGGCACACACAACCCACAATTCCCCTATTCGCTCCGACGAAGGGCTAACGCTCAAAACGTCAGCTTTTATAATCGTAACGGTGGCCAATTTACCATTTCAGCTTTGTTGATATATTCAAATTATATCGTTACCCCCACCGACGCAGCCCCAAACAGTTTCTTTAGAAACTACCAGCCTTTATCTTTTATTAAGTTTTCTGTACTAAGAAGTTTTTAGAAAGGGAAGGTAACCGTGATACAGTTTGAAATGTCAGGAAACAAATTTTATTGACGCTAAAAACTTACGAGATTGACTGCTCTTGTTATCAAGGGTTTCATGAGTCTCAGCTCCTTTTTGAGCTTCGTCAAATATGCTGGAGCAGTGGATACTTTTTGAACTCGTAACAGTCCAACTATGGAATTTGTGAGCTGGTACCCATGGCTAACAACAAGTCTTCTGTAGAATTCTAAGATGTTGCTTCTCTGAAAAGATACAAAAGAAAAATTTGAATAAGCTACCAAAACCAACAGAACTCTCATCTCTTAAAATAACGTGGAGCCAATATTAGTAAAACTGGCACAAAATGTTTTACGATGCCTTTGTGTATGGTAGCAACATTATTATAGTACGAATGAAAACCGACTCAAATATCGTTATATGTTTAATTTGGAGAAATGAACGAAAGAGCAAAATATGAGAAATGAGGGCAATAACATCTTCAGTTATCTAAGATATAACGGCTTACCGACTCATTAGCCAAGTTGTATGAAGTCAAGTTCATATCCGCCATGATCGTAATAGCCAAGGAAGTACATGCAGGGTTGCAGAAATCTGAAATGTTATACTCAGATTTCTGAAACAATTAAGTAAATAATAGGTTAAGAATTGTGGAATGCTTTCAGTTCTTCGGGAAATTGAGATTCCTAGGAAAATGTACATCAAACTGAACAAAAGGATACAGGTCTACTTGGTTTGTCATGATAGACGGACTAAAATTTAGCAGCATATTTAAGGAAAACTGGATTCATGAAACTCTTGTGCTTTTTGAAGTGTAAATCCTAAGTTCAATTAGTTTTGAATTTCAAGATTTTTTAGTTGATTGATGAAAAACTGTATTTTGATCATGGCAACTCGTTGACTAAAAACTTCTTAAATTTATAAAAGCGTGCAACCGTGCATGATCTCATATTTAAAAACAGGTTGCTTCTTTTTCCTTTTAACTGTTTTTTGAATTATTAACTGCGAATTTTATCCCGCTGATAAAGATGAAGAAAGACAACATAGCCTGTACAGTCTTTGTGGGAGAAAAGCGCTACACTAACGCGTATGTTCGATAACTGAAGGGCTCAGAAAAAAAGAAACAGAAAAATCCATGTTGAAATATTTGACTATACGAATTTATCCTGCAATTGCTTAAAAAAAGCAAAAAGTATCGTACAACTTACCATAAAAGTACCAGCATGAGACGTGAAGTTAGTTAGTGAATACGCGGACCGAGACAGTCGATCGATTGAATGACGTAAACGGCATGGTGCCGAACTACAGGCGTCCCCGCCCTGAAGGTCATGAAATAGCAGTATTAGCAGAAAAAATCCAAAGGCAGGTAAAAATGCTTGTGATCCTATAGATATAAAGTAGTTATGATTTAGTATATAGTCGGGAAAAAGAGAACATAAAATTAAAAACAGAGGTTTGCAACAATAAAAAGGTACGATCAGTACTCTTGAATCTTGAAAGTTTTGTAGTCAAAAGTAACAAAAATCAACTTTCATTCCTTATTGCTTATAGTTCAATACAGAAAAAAGTTCCAAATGTATCAGATGAAGAACATAGCCGTGACATACTATCAAAAAGGAAAAGTGTTGGAGAAGGCGTACAAAACAGGCTAACAGGCATAAAAAAACCTCTCGTTTCAATTTTAACAAATAAAATTTTGGTAAAGGTAATCTGAAGCGTAGACCATCTATGCACTTCTTATTTGGAGAATTATTACTCAGTGCACAGGATATTTAGAATTTTTTTAAACAATATTACTTGTGGGTTCATGACAATAAAAAGTTCCACTGAAGTTAGAGGTTACTGGAGAGGTAGACCCTAATTTTTGATCATGAACAACTGTGAAAGGGCTTTTGATAGACAAGTATATAGTGGAGTTGGAAAAGGTCTAGCACTGATTGGTTTTCTTCATGACTCTGTCTACGAATGATAGAGTAGGAGATGGTCCACTTACTTGGCATTATGGGTCTGTTGTTCTTCTATTCGTGACTTGAAAACTGTTTTGCACTTAACTTTGAGTTGACAATTTGAATGTTGAATCGCGCGATTATTCATCCTTATATACTTATCTGAAGGTTCCGGCTTTGTCGGCTCAGAGGCTAATTTAGAACTTGTCTTCCCCACTTTAGTAGACAACATTTACCCATCATAAACGTAGCTCGATCATCCGGTGACAAAATCTAATTTGAGTTCATTTCCTTCAGTCATATGAACAGGTGCCAAAACTGTGGAGTCCCTTCAATTTCTCATTCCAACAGTTTCAATTTTCATCAAGCCTTCAAACATTTCTTTTATTTTCTATTTCAGTGCTGCACGTATCAAGAAGCCATCTATCTGAATTTTATGAAATACATCCCAGTTCCAACGTCATCAGTCTTGACACTCATTTAGTTTGTATCTTTTTCTTATTCTCAGGTAAGTCTTTTTGACTCCTCAAAGTGTAATTAATACGATATCAATTTTTGATAAAGCTGTGGTTCAAAACATATCTCCAGCTGTGGCACCAGTCTTAGTCCGTCCGCTGTTTGCATTTCAGGCGGGGTTCTTCCGATTACAGTAAGTTCAACAAAAGAATAATTACTCTTCCCATCAGGCTCGATCCGCTGGTGGCACAATCATGACTGAAGAATTTACACATATTTTTGAGAGGAGTATAGTTATCTTGATATGAAACGGTTTAAAGGCAAAGAAGAAATGTTAGAGGTTTCCAGTAGTTAACGAAGAAGTATCTTCCTGTTAAATTCCTCTTCAAGCCATCTCTGTTGTCATCGCTAAATTTACATTCATGATAACTTTGAGGTAAGATGCAATTCTACCATTTTTAACAACAACTTTAACATCCTGTACTCGTTATCCCGCTTTCAGAGATTTAGGACCACTAGTTTTAATTCAAGTTAATGACACCAACGGCCGAATAAGCCTAGTTACTAATTAATACCTTCTAAGGTCCAATGCTTTGCCTCTTTGAGACGATTTGGAGGCCATTTCTCGGTAAATAATGCGTCTAACGTCTGTAACTGCCACTGTGAGCTTTGGTATAATTTTCTAAATGACTGCAATCGTTTGAACAGCCATTCTACTTAAAACAACGCACACTAAACTTCCTATGGTATTTACATTTAAAAGGAGTTAATTAAAGACAGGATTGAACTGGACGTATTTACTTAGCAGATACTTCATATATTTCTCTGCTATTCAGAATCCTTTATAATGTTCCAACTTTTCATTTTATTTGATTAATATAATATGGTTAGATTCCATTATTAGTCAAACTTATGTTCCCCTCAAAGAAACATCTATCTGTTCGGCAAAACATTTTCCTCTGTGAAAGGGAACATTAAGAGAAAAATAAGCTAGCTACAGAGCTTTCGAGACCTCTATGGAAAGTAAATCCACAACTAGCTTCATCTTTTTTA